TGTTCATGGTGCAGGAATCGCTCTGGGCACTGCCCACATTACAGCAGCCTGCCGGGCTTCTGCTAATCTCTGGACACGCCCTCTTCAAGAGCATTTCCTCTTCCCGGAGAGAACCCGAGATATTCCTTTTGCGCCAATGATGTTTTTCGACAGGAGTACCTGCAGTATAAACTCTGGATCCGTTTCTCACCTTCGCGGGGCCAGGAGCCCTGCGTGGAGTACAGAAAGCAGAGAAGCTAATTGGTGTAAAATTACCCTCAAATCATAAATCAGCAATGGCACTCGATTTCCCGGTTAAAACATAGACTTAAATATTAACATGAGCCATGAGGAATAGAGACTAGTTTTACAGGACGTTGCATCTCCCGTGGCTTCGCAGGGAGAACATAAAGAAAATCCAGAGAATCTACAATAATATTTTGCACCTCAGAATGAAACGGTTAATGGTTGGATATGTTAGCACAAAGTTATGACCATTCCATTTTGATAATCTGTAGTCTGTGCTAATATGGAGGTGATAAAAGAGCTGACTCGGCGCCACTTCTGTAGTTTGCGAAGTGAGGCCAGTTTGAAAGTGGAGGCTAAAAACAAGTTCCCTTTCTGCTCCATTAGCGCATAACCGGCCATTGACATAGGAGTCAAATCATGCTTATCCACAATTACCATGGATCCACAGGCGTTTCTGGGGAGCATTCGTATATTTGTTTAATCTGTCATTAAATTCTGAAGATGTGAATTTAGTAAACGAGTTGTGCCGGAATAAGAAGACCATGACCCAGTCTGTCAGTCAGCAAGGGAAGCTGGTCACTTTGAAAGTACCAAAAGGCCCAAATCTTCTATTAGGAGATTCCATTGCTCAACATCTTAGGTATAAATGAAACAGTTTCTTCCTTCACCCAAACCGCTATTTCTTTTTAACCTTTTGATAAGTATATATAATGTATTTTAGCAAAAAGCTGACAGGTCAAATTTCTCACTGACCCTCATGTTTAGGTGGCTGATTTTACTTTTTAACACTAGCAATCATTAAATCTGTTGGACAATTTAGCTGTAAGTGAACATAGTCGATGTACTTCTTGTTGATTCTATCTTCTCTGACTAGTCACAGGTCTCATTAATCCAAACAACTGCCCACACCTCTCTGCTCACACAGGACCCACTATACAAATGATCAAAAGCCTGTTTTAGGACACCTTCTGAATGAAAGTGACCGCCAAGTGAGAAATAATTGAATGTCATAACGGTTCATAAATGACTCATGTAAATATATTAATGACACTTTTTAACCGGGAAACCAACGGGTTAAATTTACATATGATTAGGAATATGAACATCTTGTCAACGGATCCATATCTCCCTATGGAATGGGACCGGTATAAGTGGAATGTTGGAATTCGTCTCAAGCTCTCTGGGTACTTCCAGCATCATAGGGAACGGTGGCTTGTATTCAGCTGCTTTCTTTGGAAAAGCGCAAGCAGCTCTGGGTGGAATTGTCCGGAACCGCCTTGCTGCGGCCAAAGGAAGCAGCTTTGGATCGTGGGCCCTGATGAATGCGCTGATTTTCTTCAGCGTAAAGGGTTTCTGAGTTTAAAAATGCAATGTTTGGAAATGGAGGCGGAGAAGCGTGACCTCTGATCCTGTTCTCTAAACAATTCCCTAGCTCCATCAAAATCCTTTATTTTAACTCACAAAATAAAACCCTTTTACACCCGAATTTTAACTGTCTGCCAACACCGTTCATTGTGTGGCCATTAAGAAGACCTCCGCCCATTGGATGACAGGTTATCACCACTCTAAATAATCTCCTTCTTCCCAACTCCACGCTTTCAGTCTCAGGGCAACAGACTGTATTCTGAACAGTCATCTGAAACTTGCTTCACTTTCTACTCACTTTTCTTGGGGATTTAGGACGGAAAATTGTTTACTCTCACGATGTTGCCTGGCCGACAACACACAAAGAATTAAGAGTTTACATAACTAAGTCGTCTTTAAAGAGTAATCATAGCTTGCGGTTTCCACCTACGACGCACCCCATTGATATTAAAACTCAGCAGAAAAGTGGGCCGTGAATAAATTATTTGACAGTCATACTTGACAAAGCAATGCCTGAACAAAAAGCAATAATCGAATTTTTACCGGAACGGTTTCTCTGACCATACCACGCTCTGCAACCACACCAAATAACAAATGACATCCTTCACTAAACCCGCTGGAGTACATCTCAGGGAAAATTGTTTAATGTATCTTATCTACAGGGCCAACGTTCACGGCATTTGAAAATATTCATTAAATAGTTTCTATATAAGAAAACATTGAAAATGTAAAAAATAAACTTTTTACTTATTCCCGTGGTTCATAATTCAAACTAAGTCACCATGCGAGGAAAGGAGAGAAGAATAATAATAATTGCTCGACCAGAACTAATAATTTAGAATAAGGACCATGCATCTGTGATACCTACATCAGTGATAGCCTACAATAATATACAGAACCACAGACATGGAAGCGGGCGGGAGCCCCTTGGCTCATAAATCAATCTTTAATACGAATCCTATATTTAGCTAACTCCTTCGATGGAGTAACTTCACTGTGTGAAGGTAAATGTAATTTGAAATCGAAAGGCTTCCTTTCCCAGACACGCACAATACAAGGACTGAATAACAGCTCCAGGCAGCCCGAATGTATGAGAAAATCTAGTGTACTTTGAGGCTTGGCCTGTTTCTATTTGAAGAATACGTTCTTAATAATAAGCCTCCAAACACGCTTTATTTACACACTCGTTTCACGATTATCAGTCATTCGAAAAACCCGAAGTTTAAAGATCTGAATGGCGAACGACCGGACACATTTGGTGCAGATTCGCAAGCGTTAGCTACAAGTGTCGCTGTGTTTGTTGTAAAATTGCTAATTAATCGAAAAGTGACACAGTAAACTGAATGCGAGATGCTCAGGCCTTCGTCACTGAAAGAGAGATGACTGGTAGAGAGGCGAAACCGAGCAACAACCGGCCGGAACTTGGAGTTAACACAATCCTTCTTATTCCAGACTCGCAACGTTAACACTGTTTGTCACCCCACAGATGCTGCCAGACCTGCTGAGTTTCTGTAGCACTTTCCGAATTTATTAGGATCATTCAGTTATCGGGTATTATATGGTTTGTAAAAGGTCTCTAAAGTATTTGAGGCTTGGTTGTAATCTTTATTGGATCTACGGTGCGACTGAAGTCAACAGTCAATTAACTTGCTCTGTGCAGCATTCGTTACACTAGTACGAATTTAAGAGTTGAAAACATTTATGTCAGACTTCGCATATTTTAAATTTTAAAGAACATTCAAATATAACCGGCTATTTCCTGGTTCTATTATAGAAAGTTTAATAAATTGTTCATGTTATTAGTTCTTTTTTTGGAAACGCGGTTTGAACAATATTTTGATTGCTGACAAGATCCGTGAAATACGAGGGTATTTTCAAACCACGTGCATTTTGGCTCCGTTGTGATTAGTCAATAGTCGGAATAGTGATTTCTAAAACTTCTCTCATGGGATTCTTTTCTCTCTCTCTCTCTGCATCAAGTTCCAGTTGGTGAATTCTGAAAAAGGACAAAACAGGTCGACACGAGTAGAAAACCTCCCCCTGTGTCTTCCCTTTTTGGAGAAAATCTGATCAACTTGTCCGCATCGCACTCTTTTTTTGTTACCGATATATTACTGTTGCCGAGGAACGTCCCCAATGAAACATCTGTATATTTCTAACCCACTCCCCTTCGTGAGCCCACTGCAGGTCAAAAACATCCCATCATAAGTCTCAGTGGTTAATTGAAAAGGGAAAGACATTTCCGCGTTCAGAAAGTCAGAATAATTCTGAACTACCTTATATTTGAGGGAAAGGACGTGTTTGATTCCGAAACCGACTGAGCTCTGAAAGGGCTATATTTAAATAACCATTTAAAGTTAAATAAAAGCATTACCAAACAAATGGTTCCTGTTAGTAATAAATATGTGGGAGTGAAATATATGTGGGAAACGAGGCTGCCGTGTATTTAATACAGTCAACAAGTTTAAATTTCATAGATGTTAAGTATTGCACTCCCGAAGCATAACGGTTCGTAATTATACAAACTCTATAGTGATTCAAACTATGAGTCCTGTCACTTCAATTCTAATCATTCACGGGATTAGGACGCTCTGTGCAAACTTTCTCAGCCCAGAGGAGCAGGTTTTGTTGGTTATTGTCCGGGGAATTAAATCCACAATAAATACACCACGACGGCTTCCAAATGCTACTTTTCATGAGTAAAGAATATTGCCCCGAAGCAAGTTCATGAATGAAATAAACGGGGGAAAGTATAAATGCAAATTATGTACAACTTTTTTTTGTAAAAATTTATTATTTTAACGGACCTGTTTTGAGCCACGCAAACAGTCGGTCTGTTCAGAAAAGTATTAGTAAACTATTTACATCGGCTGCCGGTTAATCCGCGGTTCAATTTTAGAATAAAAATGATCTAATTCTCTCTATGACTGACAGGAAATCTCACAAGCAAAAAAAATGGGGAAAGTGTTTCAAATACAGAAACTCACATGAGGCACACACCTGCAACTAAAGGCAGTTCAAATGCCTTAGAAATTAAGTTGGAAGTCCTGTCTCTTGCCTTTTCAAAATCACAAAGATTTCCCTTGGTGTGTGAGAGGGGAAGGGAGCGGAATTTCTGATTATTCCGTGGGGAGTAATAGCGGAGTATGTGTAAACAGCGCGAGAGCGCAATCTGGGTAAATTCCAGCAGGTGACATTTAATATAGCCATTCATCTCAACTGTCTGATAAATACTGTACAAAAAGAAAAGAAACCCTCGGCTAATAAAACATTTACATTCTTTTTTTTAAAACGTTATGTGCACTAGCTTCAGAACCAGTAACTTCCGAGAGTTCCCACAACGAACGACTTTACCTCTTTTTTTACAAGTACATCAAAAAAAAAGCAAATTGCCGAGGGCTGGGAGTTCACATGTGAGTTAATGGGATGGTCCCGTTAACAGCCGTGCTGGGGCTCTGGTAGTGCTGAGCCAGGGGAAGCAGTCTGTTCTGGGATGGGTCCCCGGCTTCTCCTCCTGTCGGCAAGTACATGCTGATCATCTCTCTCAGGTCCCCGGAACAAGGGGGTCGGGAATGCGAGCTGACCGGAGGGCTGGGGGACGGTTCCGACTTGACCATCGAGCCCAGTGAGAGATTGGTGGCTCCCTGGTGGCTGTAACCGGACGGGATGGGGCTGTAGGAGGGGGAGCCGCTCATGTAGCCCTGTGTGCCGGGGATGGGGCTGTACTGGAGGGACATGTCATAGCGGTGTAATTGCTGCGGGTGGTGGTGGTGATGGTGATGGTGGTGGTGACCCGCTGTCCCACCGGCGCCGTTACCACCGGCGGCACTCCCTCCTCCTCCTCCGCCTCCTGCTCCTCCCGCAGCCGCTGTTCCTGCCGCCGCCAGCGCCGGGTGCTGGCTGTAAGCCAGCGGGTCCTGCATCATGACCGCCGCCGCCGCCGCCGCCGCTGCTGCCGAGCCCGGGTAAGCGCCGTTCGCCCAGCCGTTCATGTGAGCGTAGGCGCCGGCTCCGTCCAGCCGCTGGTTCAAGCCTGGAGGCGAGCTCATTGCCCCGGGGCCAGGGGAGAGCAAGCCGGCGGGCAGCGAATACTTGTCCTTCTTGAGCAGGGTCTTGGTCTTGCGGCGGGGCCGGTATTTATAATCCGGGTGCTCCTTCATGTGCAGCGCCCGCAGCCTTTTGGCCTCGTCGATGAACGGGCGCTTCTCGGCCTCGGACATGAGTTTCCACTCAGCCCCCAGGCGCTTGCTGATCTCCGAGTTGTGCATCTTCGGGTTCTCCTGAGCCATCTTCCGGCGCTGACCCCGGGACCACACCATGAACGCGTTCATCGGCCGCTTGACCCGCTCGCCGCTCAGTTTCCCGTTAGTGCCGCCTGTGGGCACCGAGGTTCCGGTACTCGGGGCACTGACCGGGTGTCCCGGGGACTGCAGCTCGCCCTCCATCATCAAGCTGTACATTCAAGCGGTACCCGGTTCCCGGGGAGGGTGGGGGGGTGGTGTACAGCAGCCTGGCCAGGAAGGAGGTGTTGGGGTGGGTGGGGTGGGGGTGGGGGGGAGTGGGCGGGGAGGAAGCAGCCGGTGCTGGGGCAACTCCCCGTTCCTTTAGCCCACTCCAATTCCACACCCCCCACCCCCTCCCCACCCCCGCCAGCCGTTAGACTTGGAGAGCGGGCTTCACCGACCAGAGACTGGGCACGGGCACCCGAGGCGCAGCCGTTTACAAAGGAGACTGCAGAGTCATTCGGTTTGAAACCAGTTGGAACTCGGTGCAGAGTTGATCGGTTTAGACTCGGTGCAAAGTTGCACAAGTTTAGAGTCGGTGCGGAGTTGCTCAGGTTTAGAATTGGTGAGAAGTTGCTCAGGTTTGGAATCGGTGCAGACTTGCTCAGGTTTAGATTCGATGCAGACTTGCTCAGGTTTCGAATCGGTGCAGACTTGCTCAGGTTTAGATTCGATGCAGACTTGCTCAGGTTTAGATTCGATGCAGACTTGCTCAGGTTTAGAATCGGTGCAGACTTGCTCGGGTTTAGATTCGGTGCAGAGTCGCTCGGTGCAGATTCGCTCAGGTTTGAAGCCGGTTGTGCCCAGAGTTATTTGTCTCTGGCTTCCATGTGGGGTGAAGCTGGGGAAGAGAAAAGGGCCCGGGGGATGGAGATTGACAGCCGTTAAATGAGTTTACAGGAGCCAATAGGCTGGAGCTCTCGGTGAGGTTCTCTTGAACGGCAGTGACGTCGGCGGGGTGAGCGCGGCATTAATTAGGCAAAGAAGGGGGCGGGGCCAATACCTCGGCCTGGTGGGAGGGGGGTGGGGGGGGGGGGGGGGGTGCTGTGTGGATGGAGGGAAGGTGGATCCCCCCCGTCCCCCGCCTGAGAGCCTTTCAGCACCCTGCGCGGGTGAACTTTGAGCCCTTGTGGAAACGGCCACTGTGCAGCTCCCAGTTGGTCCTGCCTACAGCAGCAGATGTCCAGTTTTTACTCGTTTGGTCCCTCGCCAAAGCTTGACCCGCGCTTTTGAGAGGCACTCGGTTGACAATGACGTTTAATTTCAGAACCGCAGGCCATAACTCTCTCCTGAACAGGGAATCCGAGACAGAGTTGCCTGCCAAGTTAGTGGACCCTCTGCCCAATGCACCGTGTTGTTCGCAGCAAGGCCAGTATTCAGTCTGCATGCTGGCACTTTGCTGGAGTCGGTGACGAGCCCCAAGAGACACTCCCACACCACCACCCCCCCCCCCCCCCCCCCCACCCCTCGCGATGTGTTCGCTCGCCTCCAACAGGTGTCGTTGCCTGGCGGCTGTTTGACTGACAGCTGAGAGTCGGCATCTCCCGGGTCCGGGACTCTGGGAGCTGCCTGTCAATCATTGGGGTTTGGGGGAACGGGGGTGAGGTTTGCAGCCCGGACGGCCACAAACCCGTCCATCTGCTCGGCGGTTCTGAACCAGCCCCGGAGAACCGAGTAAATAATGTACAATCCACAGCAAGTAGCTCGATTCGGCAACACAGAATCCCCGATTTAAATCGGTTTTCCCGTATCAATGGACCCAAATTATACATGCAAAGAATTAACAAAATTATTAGGTATAGTGTTACATCTCGCCGTCTACAAACCCCGTATAAATCTTGAAAAAGCTAAATAATACAATAACTGATTGCTAGAACTGCGCGTTTTGATTCTGCATTTGTTACATCAATTTCACAGCTAGAGTTCGTTATAAACTAATAGGAGAGAATTTAATACAGACCTTGCGGGGATTAAAATTATGACTGGAAAATGAAGCATATTTCCTGTAAAATGGCCTTAATATTATATTTGTTCTGTAATGAGTCATGTTGACATTAGTAAAAGGTAAATTATTAAAACTGGTTTTGCTCATGACAAGTAGTGGTTTTCCAGTGACTGCTTTGTGCTATTGTTAGATCAGAACCCGGTGATCACGAAGCAAAGAGCAGGACTTTATTATGCCAGCGTGTGGATAGAGGTCAGGAGGGAGGATAACCATGTGGCGAGGGCTCAGTGTGTTGGCTATCTGTTTGAACTTGTTCAGGCCGTTATTCACATTGTACGAGGGCCTGGAATCGAGGGGGAAGGGGTTTATATTTTTCTCCCGACTAACCAAAACTGAACACATTTGGGTAAACGTAGGACTGACTAACAGCGAGGGAAATGATTCAAGCAACTCCATGGTCAACAGTTTATAAATCAGTTATTCTGGGTGGTAGAGGGAAAGGGCGGGAGCCGGAACTCCCACTGTGCCGTTTTATGTCAGTAATTGGGCCCTTTAGAGTCCAGTAAATGGTCTTTAAACAAATTAAGCCGCTTGCAGAAGTTTTTCAACTTTGAGCGTCTGTGAAGAATTACCATTGAAACGGACTTTGTTTGTGCCACCATACGACCCAGCGCCATCCGAAACGGGTTAAATGAACTGCCAAGACTTAAGCGAAATCCAATTAGTTAACAGAATCATATCTAGGCGTTAGCAATTTGCTTGCGCTGGGAGGCTGGTTATTAAAGAGAAGATAAATAATTCGATAAGGGAGATTCGAATGGAAGTGGCTTTTGTGAAATTCTACGCTGGAAAGCAGATGTCCATCGCCGTCTGCTGGCGACAGGCACCGGCTGGAGCTTCCTGGGAGAAGGCTCGAATAAACGGAGATCGATTCTGATGAGCTTCCTTCATATTTCGCTCAGTTTAACCCCGCACGGCGTCACCATTCTCTCTATATACTATTGCCATTCTCGGCGACGAAGTACAGTTCGTGCATTTTAACAGAAACGAATTCGTACAGCACAATATTCTTCCTCTGAAACACCATTATAAGTGACATCAGAAACAGAGCCCACAATGGACAGCGTCATTATGTAAAGACACTTCAGTAAGGGGGATGGGGTGTATTAAAGTGAATTGTGACATTTCTTTTGAACATAGGCTTCACATAGAGAAACAAATAATTTCATATTGTTTGAGTAATTGTTTCTTGTGTGCTACATCAATAATCTGTGAAACATCTACAACTTTTTCTTGCTTTCAAATAAAGGTTATACAAATTTTATTGAAAAGCTCTGGGAATAGGAAATGTAGGTATTCTGAACACTAAATCAATTAATTCGGATTCCGAGTCAAAGCCAGCCTTAGAAAGAAGAGATGGCGCCGTAAGCAAATACTCACGCATATCATTCAAATTTCACAGATGACCTACCCTGAAAACCTCAATCAGCTTCTAATTGAGGGGAAACAAAATATTGCTTCCTACACTAGGACTAACGATTTAATCATTATATGATACATTATAGCTTTTAATTAGGCTAATGCTGATACTGTATGGGCAAAGATAATTCAATACAGTTCTTGATGAATTCTGTAATTGGGTTAACAACCGAGCAGTGGGAACACGTCAATATTCAAGCTGCGTAACCACTAGATTCAATAAAAGGAGAAGGTTAGTTACAAAGCACAAAAGGAAGGGGGAAACTAGACACACAAACCGTACATGGGTATATGCAGTGATATACACAGCTTGGTGAACACACATATTTGGCAACGCATTCGACCCAGACGCCAGCATTTTTAAAATCAATATGTGGATATTTTAACTTAGTTTTCAGCCTGTACCGAATTTGGCTCGGCATCTCAAATGCAGAAACCTAGTAACTTAACCTCCTCTGGTAATTTTCCAAAAATACAGACCATCACTGGACCGAGTGCCAATGTTAAAGGTAAAACGAAATAACTAATAACGGGCTATAAAATCTTGGAACATCCTTAATGCACACAGTTTAGTATTGTTAGCTATCAGACACATTATAAAACATGGTGTGCCAGTCTATAACTGCATCCTAACATTTCAAAGGTTCTATAGTAGAATTATATCTTATTGTCTCTCAATCGATTAACCATCGTTTAAAATAATAGTGGAACGTGGTTCCCAGTTCCGAACAATACCTTTGCTTAATTAATTTAAAATGCAGATGTAAATGTGAATGGTTTCGTAAGCACAGAACGTGATTAAAGAACGCTACAGCATAATGAGAGGGCCTGATGTGTTCCTGAGGGTAAAAGACACAAAGACATCATTCAGACCCAGGTGCCTGGGAACTGACAGCTCCCTTTACGGGATCACAGTGACTGTGAGATAAAACACAACTTTTAGATAACAGCACTTGGGATTTTCAGTGATTAAAAGCAATTTGATGTCAAAACTGACATGAATATGTCAGCTGAAATAGGACATCCCAATCCACTCTCCAGAATCGGCATCATACAACTCCGGTTTTACAATTAAAGTTCGCGATGGCTTCATCTGAGCGTTCCATAAAACAAAGCGTAAGATCATTTGCAATATCTCAAGATAAAGTGTTAAAAAGACTGGAACCCGGTGGGGAAATTAGAACCAAATTTGGCTTCACAGGGGTTTGAATCAGGAAGCTCGCTTACTTAAAACATTGTCTTGCCGCAGCTTAGTAAGAATTTCTATCTCAATGCACGGATATTTGAGGTGTTTTAAGTAAAGGGATTGTAATTATTCTCAATTCTTCGGTCAAATAATCGCCTCCGTTTCATTAGAATCCACATTCACAGATGTATCTTAATTGATTGGGGTAGACCCGGTGTTAATAATTCAGAATATTTGAAGATAATGTCAAGTAGCATTTTAAACCACTTCAAATTCCACCATTCTCGATTCTATAAATAACGAATTAGAGATTACGAAAGGCCATGAATTATTGTTTTGGTTTGATTTGATATTGGTGTTAATAGTTCGCAATAGCGGGAAAAAAAATGAGCAATTAAAACGAGGGCTCTAAAAAATCATCTCATTGTCCTATCGTTTATCTACTTCCTAAATAACACACAACCTTGCTGAACATAACAGCTGTTAAGTCAGACGCGTTAGCGAGTAAACCATGAAATAACTTCCAAACTTTGGGAATTATTGATGCGGACAATGGTTTTTTAGAAC